CAGTACCTTTCAGACCCCACGATCCAGTTCGGCTGAGCCCGGGCCGAGGCGCCTCCCCCGAGGTGCGGGTTACACTCGTGCAAAACCGGGTTCCCGCGGATTCACTCCGTGCGCAGAGCACGGAAAATCCCTCCCGGGAAGCGAGACCATTTCACCTTATCAGTCACTGGAGCCTGCAGCCCAGTGCACAGAGCAGCCCCAGTGCACAGAGCAGCCCCACTGCACAGAGCAGCCCGTGCACAGAGCAACCCCACTAAACAGAGCAGCCCCAGTGCACAGAGCAGCCCCAATGCACAGAGCAACCCCACTAAACAGAGCAGCCCCAGTGCACAGAGCAGCCCCACTGCACAGAGCAACCCCACTAAACAGAGCAGCCCCACTGCACAGAGCAGCCCCACTAAACAGAGCAGCCCCACTAAACAGAGCAGCCCCACTGCACAGAGCAGCCCCAGTGCACAGAGCAGCCCCACTAAACAGAGCAGCCCCACTAAACAGAGCAGCCCCACTGCACAGAGCAGCCCCACTGCACAGAGCAGCCCCACTGCACAGAGCAGCCCCACTGCACAGAGCAGCCCCACTGCACAGAGCAGCCCCACTGCACAGAGCAGCCCCACTGCACAGAGCAGCCCCACTGCACAGAGCAGCCCCACTGCACAGAGCAGCCCCACTGCACAGAGCAGCCCCACTGCACAGAGCAGCCCCACTGCACAGAGCAGCCCCACTGCACAGAGCAGCCCCACTGCACAGAGCAGCCCCACTGCACAGAGCAGCCCCACTGCACAGAGCAGCCCCACTGCACAGAGCAGCCCCACTGCACAGAGCAGCCCCACTGCACAGAGCAGCCCCACTGCACAGAGCAGCCCCACTGCACAGAGCAGCCCCACTGCACAGAGCAGCCCCACTGCACAGAGCAGCCCCACTGCACAGAGCAGCCCCACTGCACAGAGCAGCCCCACTGCACAGAGCAGCCCCACTGCACAGAGCAGCCCCACTGCACAGAGCAGCCCCACTGCACAGAGCAGCCCCACTGCACAGAGCAGCCCCACTGCACAGAGCAGCCCCACTGCACAGAGCAGCCCCACTGCACAGAGCAGCCCCACTGCACAGAGCAGCCCCACTGCACAGAGCAGCCCCACTGCACAGAGCAGCCCCACTGCACAGAGCAGCCCCACTGCACAGAGCAGCCCCACTGCACAGAGCAGCCCCACTGCACAGAGCAGCCCCACTGCACAGAGCAGCCCCAGTGCACAGAGCAGCCCCACTGCACAGAGCAGCCCCACTGCACAGAGCAACCCCAATGCAGATGCAGGCACGAAGACTCCTGCTGTCACCCGCCCCCGCCCGGGAAGGGACAGTGCTAGGCCAGACAAGCTGAAGGAGCTCATCCCTAACAGCCAAGAACACTTTCTGTAGCTAATTTCTAAAAAGGAAAAAGGTTGCGGGATTCTGAGAGTCGAGATCTGTAGCATGTGGCTCCCTGGCAGATGCACGTGGGCAGGGACCCCGAATCTGGAGAAGCTGTAGATGATCATATCCTACTTATTCCAGGGGTTGGGGGGTGGTTGTGAGGTTAGAAGGATGTGAACACACTGGATACAAAACTTCCCGAATTCCACTTCCACCAAATTATCCCAAGGAAACCAATGACATATCCCCTCCAGGAATGGTCATCTCAGCGTTCCATGGTGATATCAAAACTGTGGAGGCAATCAACAGTGGAGGAGTCAGTTACATAAACAATGCTACATTGGAAAACCATGCATCCATAAAAAGTTATGTTCTTGAAGGATGTTTGTTCTAGAAGAACGTTTATCGACATTCAGTGTAAAAACCAAATGACCAAAGAGTAGTATAGAGCTTATCTCATTTTATAAAAAACTGAAAAGAGAGAGTGTGTATACAGACAGACTGGGGGGGGAAAAATACACCAAAGTGTTAACATTGGATATTCAGCGCTATTCAAGAATTTCCAGCTTGTTTACAATCAATGAGTATTTCAGATTGATTTTAATTTTTCCATTAGGTTTAGATAGCTTTACAAACACAAGATGGAATTTGATTCAACCTTTCCAAGTTCAAAGTGGTGAATCATCAAATTTCCTAACTTCCAGTAACTGAAATGAGACCATCCGTTTCATGGTTCCACTTTTGCACAGTGCTCAGCACAGGGTGATTGCACAATTGAGTTGTTGAACGGCCGTGCCATGATCCTCAATGGTGAGCACCTCCTGGACCATGGGGACACCCTAACTGTCCTAAAAAGAGCTGGCTGCTTTGCATGTGGTGCTTTGCTGGGCAAACACCGTAGTACTGACCCACCGGGAGTTTCAGATCTCAAATAAATTGTACTAACACACCGTGAGATTGAAAGCATTGTGTTTGGGAATTTACGTTCGAGTGTAAACAGCAGGCCATGACCCAGTGCCTTTTCAGCCACACACACACTGAGAGCCTCTGGCCTTCCAGGCTGGTTTGAACCCGTCAGAGCTACAACCTGAGTGCAGCAACCACAACTTTGCCCCAGAACATGCACATTTAGAGATTGCAAAAATTTTAAATAATGGTTTTCAGAGATTGAGCAATTTTTTAAATGGTTACATGTACACAATGACGGCACACACACTCATTCCTCTGAGAGATATCATCCGGGCTTGGTGGTGGGAATCGGTAGAGTAGATAAGACCTGCTCAGATAAGGCGGGTGCCCCAGAGAGCCAGCCTGGGAGCCCCTCAAGCAGCCTGGAGGGCAGGCGGGCAGTCTGGGCAGATGCTACTATCACTGCTGGCAGGTCTCAAGTCACACCTTGGTGACATTGGAGAAGGCATCTGTCTCCCTTGAGACCCCCTGGCAGCTCCGAAGCTCATGGACAGAGTCCCCCTCACCCACAGCCTTCTCGTTAGTCCACTCCCCTCTTCCCAAACAGGAGGTGCCAGGGTTAGAATGACAGGGCCGGTGGACTGGTGACAGAGATCGTGTCTTCCCAAACGGAAAAGGAAACCCATTCATTGGAAGGAGGGTTGACGTCAGGGAGCAGTGGGCTGCTGCCCCTGATAGCAGAGCTGGTCTCCCTGGCAGGAAGCACCAGGAAATCCTGAGCCAAGGGCCTGTGCCTCACTGTCTGGGATTCACTCCCTGAACTGAAAACCCTGCCTGTGCAAAAGGAAGGCCCCTCCTCCCCTCCCCTCCCTTGCTTGTGAAAGGGGGTTCTCTCCCCAACAGAGGGCTATCAGCAAACTCGAGAGAGAAAGAGGCCAGCCAGCCCACCTTCCGCCTGGGCGCTGGGAAACCTTCCTGCGGATGATCAGCTGTTTCAGGGGAGCAGGCTCTGGTCTCATTGGGAACAGCCTGGGGCCGCTCCCCGCCCCTCCCTCCACGCTTCCCCCTGCTCACTGCCTGGCCCTTTGGGCCCCTTAGACTCCCACACATGTTGCTGCCTTGGGATCTTTGTCTCCCTGACCC